TGTGACCCCAGCATTCATTCCTGGCTGTGGCAGGGGTTCAGGCTAGATGATAGGTCCCTCCTGACCCTAGCTACTATGAAACTAGACAGGTTACAGCGGTGGGCGGATGAGAATAGGATGGAATTCAACACAGACAAATGCAGGGTGCTGCACCTAGGGAGAAGGAACCAGCAACACACCTACCCATAGGCTGGGGAACACCCTTCTCATCAACACAGTGGCTTTAAGGGATCTTGGAGTCATTGTTGACTCCAGGATGGACATGAGTCACCAATGCAAGGAAGCATTCAGTAAAGCTAACCGCACCTTGTCGTGCATCTGCAGATGCATCACAAGCAGGTCCAGGGAGGTGATCCTTCCCCTCTGCGGCATTGGTCAAACTGCAGTTGGAGTGCTGCATCCAGTTCTGGGTGCTGCACTTCAAGAGGGATGTGGCTAGCCTCGTGAGGGTCCAGAGGAGAGCCACTCACATGGTTAGGGGGCAGCAGGCCAGGCCCTATGAAGCTAGACTAAAGGGCTTGAATCTATTCAGCCTGCACAAGAGAAGACTGAGAGAGGATCTGGTGGCTGTCTATAAACTCACCACGGGGTACCAGCGGAAAATAGGTGAGGCTCTGTTCCCCCAGGCACCACCTGGGATAGCAAGGAATAACGGCCACAAATTTATTAAGAGCAGGCTCAGGCTTGATATCAGGAGACATTACTTTACGGATAGGGCTGCCAGACTCTGGAATGGGCTCCCAAGTGAGGTGGTGCTCTCCCCTACTTTGGGGGTCTTCAAGAGGAGGTTGGACAGATATCTGACTAGGGTATTATGATCCCAGCAGTTGTTCCTACCCAGGGCAGGGGGTCGGACTTGATGATCTGTTCAGGTCCCTTCCAACCCTAGAAACTAAACTATGAAACATAAGAAGTAGCATACTGGGTCAGACCAACAGTCCATTTAGCCAAGTATACTGTCTCTGACAGTAGAATAAGGGGAATGTAGAGGGAGAGCATTGAACCAGAGAGATCTAAAACTATCTGTCCCCTATCCAGTACCCTTCCTGGCATCCACCATTATTGGTTTAGAGGTGATAGAGAAAACATCTCCAACTGTTCTGTTCAACAGCTTATAATAAATCCATCATCCATGAATTTATCTAGTCCCTTTTTTAACCTGGCTGTGCTATCTGCCTCTGCCACCTCTTGCATCAGTGAAGTCCACAAATTAACTACATGTTGCCATAAACAAGTACTTTCTCTTCTTAGTTTTAAACTCGTCTCCTACAATATCAGTGCATGCCCCCTAATTCTAGTATTCTGGGACTTGGTGAACAGTAGTTCCCTGTTCGTTTGGTCCACACCCTTCATGATTTTATCGACCTCTATCATATCATCCCATAGCCTTCTAGACTGAAGAGTCCTAACCTTTTTAGTCTCTCCTGGTATGGCAACTGCTCCATACCCCTGATCGTTTTGATTGCCTTTCTTTGTGTCTTTTCTAATTCTGCTACATCCTTTGAGAACTTTGGCTGCGACGATCTAGTTGGGGATGGTCCTGCTTTGAGCAGTGGATTGGACTAGATGACCTCCTGAAATCACTTCCAGCCCTAATTTTCTATGATTCTATGGTTCCAAGTGGAGGTCCAGACTTGACTACCTGCAATAATTTAGTATTATTTGCAAACTTGGAGATTTTACTGTGCACCTCCATTTCTAGGCCATTGATGAAACTCTTGAACAAAATTGAGCCCACCACATATTCTGTGGGACTCCACTTTTGACCTCCCTCCATCCTGAAAAGTGACCATTTAACCCTACCCTGTGCTTCCTATCTTAACCAGCTCTCAATTCATGAAATAACCTTCCACCAATTTCATGGCAGTGCACTTTCTTTTAAAAGCTTTTTGTGAGGGATCTTGTTGAAAGCTTTTTGAAAGTTCAAATATATAGTATGTCAACTGGAACCTCCTTGTGCACATGCTTGTTTACACCCTCAAAGAACTCCAGTAGATTGGTGAGGCAGAATTTCCCTTTACAAAAACTGTACTGATCCTTCCCCAACAGATCATATTTATCCATGTGAGTGCTGATTTTATTCTTTATTATTGGTTCTACCAACTTGCCAGGGATGGAAGTGAAACCAATGAAAAGAGTTTGTTTAGCTCCTCTGCTATGGCCTTGTCATCCCTAAGTGCACCTCTTATACCATGGTCATCTAATGGTTCTACTGATTCTCTAGTTGGTTTCCTGCTTCTGATGTATTTTTAAAAGTTTTTATTATTAACTTCAGTATCTTTTGCTAGAGGCTCCTCATTTTTTTTCTTTGTCCTGCTTATTTCATTTTTACATTTGACCTGTCAGAGTTTGTGAACTTTGATTTTCCTCATTTGGCCATGCTTTCCATTTTTTGAAGGACAAAAATGTCAGTGTATTTGCTGTAAATGATTATGATAGAGTGAAATAATTAGTCAAGATTTTTGTTTTGTTCTTCTATAAGCCCTTATTGCCAAAATAGATAATTCTGCAGATTGGATTGCTTGATTGTCTATGTATTGCTGAGCCAAGAAAAGCTGAAGAATATCCAGGGCTTTGTGAGGTTAAATAAATAAATACTGTACCTTGTAAGCTAACTAATTATCAGGAACAAATTCCATTGTGGTTTAGTATGTCTGTATACTTGGAAATGACTAATTATGTTTTAACAAATTAGTCAAAAATATTCTGTGTACAAATCAGTAAGTCCGTAGCAGGGATTCCATGTAGCAACTAATAAGACAATAGTGATGAGTTATCCCACTGACTAATTAACTAGACTTCACTGTAGATAGCCAGCTAAAGATGCGATTTATGTATAAGGAGGGTCAAGCCTCTGATGTACGCAAATAGAAGCCTACACACAAACAGAAATTAAATTAGTGCTCATTGTGGAGCCTAATATTTTCGTGTACTTCATAAAACCTATGTGCTGTTTATATTTTTTCTCTAATAATTAACCTTTCTTATGCATATATTCACTTGTTATGAAGCAGGCTCCTGGTGGACACAGTCCAAAGACCCAGAATGGACTTTTGAGTCCTCCACAGGAAGAAAAGCTCAGCAATAGCCAGACATCACTTTATGAAATGTTGCAAGAGAAAGGAAGATGGGTAGGAGTGAGCTTGGATCAGACAGCACTTCTTCCACTGAGGTTTAAAAACATCAGAGAGAAGACAGATGCACATTTTGTGGATGTGATTAAAGAAGACAGGTAAGAAAGAATTATGTAACTTAAAAGCAGTCTACAAGAAAGAAATAATGGGCCTCCATGTCTTTAATCTGCATTTTCATTCTCTTGACTGATGTTAGTTGTTATCATATTGTAATCTTACTCCTCCTTCTGTTATTTAACTACAGTAGGAGCTCACCACTGAGAATTCTACTAAAAAGAGTAATAAATTCCACCCATGACTGGACCACAGGTATAGAGAGTTATACTCTGTACAGGAGGGATTGAGTGGACAAAAGGGGCGGAGGTGTAGCTCTCCATGTCAAGGAAAGCTATGCATCCCTGCAAGCTGACATTGGCACCCACGGTGGACTTGAGACCCTCTGGGTTAAAATCCGTGGGGAACATGACACAGGGGATACTATGGTGGGAGTCTACTACAGACCCCCTACCCAGGGTCAAGACCTTGACCAGGAGTTTGCCAGGGAATTGGCTGAGGCCGCGTGCTCCCAGTGTATGGTTGTCATGGGAGACTTTAACTACCCAGACGTCTCATGGGAGGAGCGCTCAGCCAAATCTGAGTGGTTGCAAAGCTTTCTCTCGTGTGTGGATGGCCTCTATCTGACACAGGAAGTCTACAGGCCAACGAGAGGTAAAGTGCTGCTCGACCTGGTACTGGCAACCGGGGACGACCTAATCAGTGACCTAATGATTGAAGGGCAGCTGGGCAACAGTGACCACGAGCTGATAAACTTCACCATCTGCCGTAAAGCTGGCAAGTCAGTCAGTAATACAGAAGTCCTCGACTTCAGGAAAGCTGACTTTGACAAGCTCAGGAGGCTTTTCAGTGAGGCCCTAAAGGGCCACAACCCAAAGGGGAGGGAGTTCAGGACGAGTGGTTGCTCCTCAAGGGAGCGATCCTGGATGCGCAAGCAAAGTCTATCCCATCTCAGAGGAAAGGCAGCAAAAGTGCACAGCAGCCCCCTTTGCTCTCCAGGGAACTAGCAGACCTCCTGCATCTTAAAAGGAAGACCTACAAAGGATGGAGGACTGGAACCACCACCAAGGAGGAATACTCTGCTCTGGTCTGGACCTGCAGAGAGCAAACTAGGAAAGCCAAGGCTGCAACGGAACTCCAGCTAGCTACAAATATCAAGGACAATAAGAAGTCCTTTTTTAGATATGTAGGAAGCCGGAGGAAAAGCAAGGGCAACATTGGACCCCTGCTAAACCAGATGGGACAACAGGCAACCGATGCCTTGGAAAAAGCAAACTTGCTAAATGGGTACTTTGCGTCAGTTTTTCACCAGTTCCATGGGACGCCCCTGCCCACTGAGGGACAGGGAGGCCCAGATGAGGGAGATTCCTTGCCATCCATCACTGCTGACCTCATGAAGGAACACCTTGACAGGCTGGATACCTTCAAGTCAGCCAGCCCTGATAGTTTACATCCAAGGGTACTCAAAGAGCTGGCAAGCATCATAGCTCAGCCCCTGGTATGGATCTTTGAGAGCTCCTGGTGCTCTGGTGAAGTGTCCAATGATTGGAAGAAGGCCAATATGGTGCCTATCTTCAAAAAAGGGAGGAAAGTAGATCCAGCAAACTACAGACCCATTAGCCTGACCTCTATCCTGGGGACGGTCTTGGAAAAGATTATCAAAGAGGCCATCCTATACAGGCTAGCTGATGGGAATATCCTGAGGGATAGCCAGCACGGGTTTGTTGTAGGTAGGTCTTGCTTGACCAATCTCATTTCCTTTTATGACCAGGTGACCTATCACCTGGACAAGGGCAAAGAGATTGATGTCGTACATCTTGACTTTAAAAAAAGCCTTCGATCTGGTATCCCATGATACCTCTTGGCAAAACTGGCTAACTGCGGCCTTGACCTCACCACGATCTGCTGGCTGGAGAATTGGCTCCGTGGCAGGACGCAGAGGGTGGTGGCTGATGGAAGTCAATCGTCGTGATGTGCTGTGATCAGTGGGATCCCTCAAGGCTCTTTCCTAGGGCCTTTATTTTTTAACATCTTCAGCAATGATGTGGACATTGGTGTCAGAAGCAAGCTGGCCAAGTTCGTCGATGATACCAAACTCTGTGGTAAAGCAACCACACCTGAGGACAGGAGGGTGATCCAGGCTGACCTTGACAGGCTCAAGAAATGGGTGGATGAGAACCTGATGGTGTTTAACACTGAAAAATGCAAGGTTGTCCACCTTGGGAGGAAAAACTTGCAGCATCCTTATAGGCTCTGCAGTGCTACACTGGTTAGCACTACAGGTGAAAGGGACTTGGGGGTCAGGACTGACCACAAGATGAACATGAGCCTTCAGTGCGATGCTGCGGCTAGTAAAGCGAGCAAAACGCTGGCTTGCATCCATAGATGCTTCTCAAGCAAATCCCGGGACGTCATTTTCCCATTGTACTCAGCCTTGGTGGGGCCACAGCTGGAGTACTGCATCCAGTTTTGGGCTCCACAATTCAAAAAGGATGTGGAGAAGCTTGAGAGAGTGCAGAGGAGAGCCATGCACATGATCAGAGGTCAGGAAAACAGACCTTATGATGAGAGGCTGAGAGCCATGGGACTCTTCAACCTGGAAAAGCACAGGCTCAGGGGTGATCTGATGGCCACCTATAAGTTTATCAGGGCTGCTCATCAGGATCTGGGGGAACGTCTGTTCACCAAGGCGCCCCAAGGGATGACAAGATCGAACAGTCACAAATTTCGCCATGACTGATTCAAGCTGGACAAAAGGATGAACTTCTTTACTGTCTGAGCCCCCAAGGTTTGGAATGGACTGCCACCGGAGGTTGTTCAAGCGCTCACTTTGAATGCCTTCAAGACACATTTGGATGCTTATCTTGCTGGGATCCTATGATCCCTGCTGACTTCCTGCCCCTGGGGCAGGTGGCTGGACTCAGTGATCCTCATGACTGATTCAAGCTGGACAAAAGGATGAACTTCTTTACTGTCTGAGCCCCCAAGGTTTGGAATGGACTGCCACCGGAGGTTGTTCAAGCGCTCACTTTGAATGCCTTCAAGACACATTTGGATGCTTATCTTGCTGGGATCCTATGATCCCTGCTGACTTCCTGCCCCTGGGGCAGGTGGCTGGACTCAGTGATCCTCCGGGGTCCCTTGCAGCCTGATTGTCTATGAAATCTATGAAATTCATGCTTTTCATTTTCCCCCCACTATCATGAAACAGGGGTTTTACACCCAGTAAATGAATGTATGTATGTGTGTATTTTGTATATATGTGTGTGTGTGTGTGTATGTATATATATATACCAAATTTGATATATATATATTTACCAAATTTTATGGTGTGTGTGTGTGTGTGTGTGTGTGTGTACACACATATATAATTACATACCAAATATCTCTTGGTTTTACACCCAAATTTTAACACAAACTTGGAGCTACAAAAATTGTGTACCAGATTTTTAAGGGCAATAAGATTGAGGCCTGTGATACTGTCTATTTATTAAAAGTGTAGAAAATAGGACCTGGGAAGATTGGTTGGCTGTGGTCCCAAATATACTTTTCTTGTTCTGCATAAGTGGAAAGTATAGGCTGTAAATGCAACAGTCCATGACCGCGCATGCGCTCGTGCGCGCACACACACACACACACGTCACCTCTGCTGATTGACACACACACGTCACCTCTGCTGATTGATTATGAACAGCCTTTATGGTGAACCATTAAGAAGATGATAACTTTTTAAATGTTATTCCTATTTATATTGTGATAACATACAAAAACACCAGTCAGTTTGGGGGCTTGACTGTGCTTGAGACTGTATGAGCACATATATTATGAATTTCTTGGTGCAGCAACAGCATTTCCTAAATGGGAACAAGAGAAGACCAGCAAAGAAAGAGAGAGTGCAAATGAAGAATTTGGATTGCAAATACAGAATTGTGGGTAACTGGTGATTAGAGCATGACTTTATTACATTACAGTGCACACTATTCTGTTTCATTTTATGCACACAAATGTTAGTTTTCCAGCTGTGTAAGTGGCATTTTTGGCACTTACACATAGCTTGCCATTCTGTTACCCATACGCTGTAGATACTTGCACATCTACAAGCGTGAGGCAGGTACAGTGTTATATACATGCTTACCTGAGCATACTTCCTAAAGAAATTAGGTGAATGAAACTGGCACTCCTATGTTTTAGCCCTAGTAGTTGTTTAGTTATGGAGACCCAGGTTCTAGGTACTCATTCCCTCACCAGTTGTGATTTGAACCTACATATCTCTGACCCACACCAAGGGGAAAAACTAGATTCAGGGCTCCTGAGGCAGCTCTCGGAGACCATAAAAACTAAGGAGGCGGTAGTCATGGGGGACCTAAACTACCCAGACATCTGCTGGGAGACACAGACAGCAAACTCCCACCGTTCACGCAGCTTCCTATCCTGTGTACAGGACCTCCACCTGACGCAGGAGGTACACGGTCCCACTAGGGGGAATGCCTTACTGGACCTGGTATTGGCAACAGGGGACGATATTATAGGGGACCTACAGATCAGTGGTCATCTGGG